CCTGCGGCGATGCTGTAGAAGGATCAGGGTTGCTGTGTTCATTTTTTTCTTTTTTGTTGCAGTTGCAGTTGGATGCGGCGGAACGTCAACTAAGATTCTTCATTTCCTCCCTTGTTCTCTTTGGTTTGACGTTAGGAGAGGCGCGCTGTCGTGCTGATCTAGTGCCTATATCTTTGCTGGGTTGCGATTTGAGGTTGGCCGTTGAACCACTATTGCAGTCGAAGGGTTCCGCCACCTGATCCAGTCTTGCTCCATTTTCGCTGGGGTGGTTGTTGTTTCTTGTTGTTGAGCGGCGGATTCCAAAAGGATCTTGGATGCCATTTGTTTCTCAATTGGAAGCAGTGCGGTTAGAGGCGACTGAGGATTCTCCTTTGTGGTGTCGCTCTCGGATTTCATAATTCCCTGTTGTTGAGGCGGTTTTACCTTGCGGCGTGTCGCGGCCAAATTGCTATGCTAGTGATTATTCTCAACATTGTGTGGCGGTGTTGCACGGTGGTTGATTGGTGCTGATGTGCGGTGAAGCTCTTGACTTTGAGTGTGGATAGTATTGGTGTACGGTTGAGAGTTATCGGATTAGTGCTAGGAGCGGCAAAGTTGTGTGCGGCAAGGCATGCTATATTCCCTTGTTTGACAGTGGTTGTAGTGTTGTGCGCACCGATACCACCCTTCGCATTCTTTCTCCTTCGTGTGTTGTCGGTGGTTCCGCGGTGCTGCTCCAACATTGCCCTCTAGTTCCCTAATCACGTTATGGTGGTTGATGCGTTGAAAAAAATCAAGATTTTCCCCCTTCTAGCGGACCTGGAATAGTTGGCGAACTTAGACAAGTTCAAGATGATGTCCATCGCCACATGGTGAACGATCAAGTATCGTCAACAACCTTCTCGTTCTTGCAATCACAGCACATCGTGTGCAGCAGTAGTGAATCAGTCAACTTGAAATCATCCCATGCATTAACAAGCCCAATCTGAGCTTGTGTTGATGGATTAGTATATTTCCTTCTTAATTACCCCGATTGTCTTCGTGCCTCAACATACGTAGAAAAATTGTAGAGCTTCGTGCCTCATAGATATTGAAACTTCTTTTAATATCTCTGCTTAGATACAACACTGCAATCATCTTGGAGCTATGCGACTTCTCTGAGCTTCAGAATGGTGAGGAATCGCTACCAGTAGTGATGTGTTGCAGTGCGAGTGAGTAACAAGGACCTCGTCAGCTCCAATTATTTGAACTGACCAGCATGGGTAGTCCAAACATACTCTTCTTCCCAACAATAATTCTATAGGAGTCCCTATCAAAGTATTTGGCACTGCGTGGATGGTAACTGGACATAGGTGCAATCGAGGCGCTATTTATAAACTTCAGTGAATTGATTAGAATTCATTCTTTCTATGTCGCTGCGATCGCATTGTCTGATAGAAATAGGATACTGATTATTGCTCCTTCAAGAGGGCAATTTAAGAGGGAGGCTCCATAACTCCATCTCATACATCGTCTAATATCGTTGTGTGTGCAGACCGCTCCAGAAGCCAGCTCACCAATAGGGACTTCAATAGAGTAGCTCTTACTAAAGTAAAGTAACGTAGGGGAATCGGGTGCTACTACAGCGGGATCGTGAGCGAAGGAGACAGTCAGGGTTTTCAGCAGTGGTCAGGCAGCTTGCCACGGTCGGTACGTTTTTTTTCACAACATGTCGACTAGTGTAAGGAAAATCTTCCGATTTGGTGAGGTTCTTCAAGCAGACGGGTTTACATTAGGTTGATTAGGGTAGACTGTATGAAAGTAGATTAGGTTGGAATTGGGTTTAAATTGGAAGTGTTACTATTAGTTGAGAATTAAATAAAAGATGAAGTGTTTAAGCATGGATGGAATTTAAGAGTGGATGAAAAGTTATGTATAGATGATAATTTATACTTGGATGATTCTTTGTTAATGGATGAATTTAAATAAAATATAAAATATAATAAAATAAAATAAATAAACAAAAATAAATTAAAAGTTAAGAAAAAGAATTTCTTTGGACATATATTTTGTGAGTGATTTACTATTGTAATTGTGAATTAATAGTAGAAGTTGGGCTTGATTACTTGAGTGGTTAAAGAAGAATAAAGAGTGATTGATTATGATTTAAATAAGAGTAATAACTTAGAAAATTTGGATAGTTAATTCTAACTTGTTGTGAACAAGAATAAACATCCACTATATTCATGTCCTAAAAGAAGGATTTGCTGAATATCTCTTTTGTTTCTTTCTCCTCAATTCTACCCTCCAGTGCTTTGCTCCCTGCTATATATGTATGCACTAAAATAGAACAAATTAAAATAAACTCAAAAAGGGCTAAGAATTTCCTTGATTTTGATTCCTAAGTGCCAATTTTCTTTTTCTTGCTTCTTATTCTTCATTCCACAACTTGTATTAATTTAATAAATAGAAAACTTAGAAAATTATTAAAAGATAACTTACTTTAGAGTATAGCCTTTGAATACTTATTGTTTCTTCTTCTTCTTTATTCTTCATTTTTTTTTTTTTTTTTTTTTTTTCCTTTGATATACTATATCTACAACTAAGAGGGATATAGCAAGTAGAGAGGGTGATCAAATTTCTTTATCACAGAAAATTATTCCCAACAGGAAATTTACAAAGAAAGAAGAAGGATTGCTTGCCTACTCAATCTTTTTCATCTATAAAAAAAAAGAATACAAAAGTTGGAGAGGGTGATTAAATTCCTCAACCACTAGAGATAGGCCTTCAACAAAGAAATAACAAAGAAGGGAAGTGATGACCTTCTTGAAGTAGAGCTCTACCTTACATGACAAATCCTTGCCTAAGTTTTGTTGATTCTAATTCTTAAATGATTCTAAATCTTTGCCTAGGTCTTCTTCTACTTTACCTTTAAATACCTTTAAGCTCCCTCTTCAACTCCAAATTCTTACAAAATAACAATCTACAATAAAATCAAAAGGTGGTACTAGCAAAAGTTTAAAACAATAAAAAAAAAAAAATAATACAATAAAAATAATTGCCTTACAAGTAAGCCTAAGTCTTATAGGATAAAGCTTGCAATAAAAAAAACCAAAATGTGAGCTAAAATAAACCTCCACTAATTAGAAGGTTATTCTAGTTTACAAATAAATTACTATGTAATTTTTATAAGTAATAGCTATTATTCAAATCCTAATCAAATTTCTCTTTATTCTTCTTAAATCATCTAAATAATCAAGCCAAATTCTACCATTAACTCACATTTACAATAATAAATCACTCAAAAAATTCGTGCTCAAAGATTTTTTTTTTTAATTTAATTTTTTAAAATTTTAAAATTTTTTAAATTTAATCAAAGTTTATTTGTTGACAAAAAATCATCCAAATATAAGTTATCATTTACAAATAAATTCTCATCTTTGTTTAAATTTCAATTATCCTAAAAACTTCATCTTTAATTAAAATCTTTATTCAATACATTAATTTTCATTTAATATGCATCTTATCTAATTTAATCTAATTCTACTCTAATTTAATTCATTTGAACCTACTTCAATTGATCTAATGTGACATCATCTATTTGAGAAACTTCATTGAGTCAGAAGATATCAATGCATTGATCACTAATTGATAGAAGAACTTGTTAGCTTTGTCTATAACCTCACTCTCTATAGAGCTTAAGGACCTAAAATAAAAAGGAGTCTAAGAAAGTCGGTCCAATACACAAAGAAACTTCCTACAATCATTACTACTTGTAGTAGTCCTTTGCCTCTACCACACCTTTGTATCATAAGAATAATTCAAAGAAGGAACAAGACTCTTGTAGATTGTAGCCTTGATGTTGGAGCAAGCCAAGGAATATAATCAAATACAAACTTATACTACAAAGGTCTACTACAATAACATCTTCAATGGTATTAATTTATTATTTGAGCAATAATTTTTTTTATTATATAATTCTTAGTCAATTAAAAATCATTATGAATAATTTTTCTACTAACAAATTTAAATTCTTTCAAACAATCATTAGAGAAATTCTTTCAAACTAAATTACACTTCAAAATTGGTGCACAATAAGTCTTGTGTTCTTTTGGTGCTACCTAATCTCAACTACAAAAAACTACTTATAGCTCTTAATGATTGCTTGTACCCTAATAATTGGACCTTGTAACAACTAAAAGAAAAGCTTCCACTCTCATAATCCAATTCTTTTAGATAGTATCAAATATGTAATACAAGTCCTTTCAGAGCCTTTTGCATGCCCTTCACACTTGATGTCAAACTTAAACCAATTTTATCTTCTCCAAACTTTTATACTAAAACCAAAACCAGAAAATTAATTGTCTATCTTGTATTGATCACTTTTGATGCACTCTCCTTGTGCAAGGCTCAACATTTAAGAAATTGCTAAAATCTTTCTATTTTGCTCTAGGAATTGTGTGAACTAAAATAAACCACTACTAATTAGAAGTCCATCTCAATTCATAACAATTTAATTATTTAATACTTCTAATAATTTTCAATTATCAACTAACTAATGTTCAATAAATCCTGTAACTTTTCAATGTAAGCTAAACAAATCCCTCTAATAGGTGATTTATTCAAGTTCACAACTATTAATTAACTTATGAATTGATCACATAAAATTCTTTCATATTTCTTATTAAAAGAACTTAAATTCTCTAATTAGTTAAATTCACACTCATGCAGCCCACCACTACAATGCAAGCTACTTAAACAACTTTTTTATTAAAAAAAACCACTTGCTTGAAAGAAATTGTTAGTATATGATTTTATTTTATTTTAATATAATTTTTTATTTCTATTTAATTATCTAATTAAAAGTTCATCTAACATTAAGATTCATCCTTAAATGATTTTTCATCTACAAATATGAATTCATCTACTAATGATTAACTATCATCCATATATTTTCTTCCATACCTAACTTAATTCATCCAATCTTTAATTGATTCATCAATCATAATTCTTTTGACTCAAACTTGATTTACTAGATGGAATTCTTTTCACAATTGACTAAAGGCAAGATTCAATCGAGATTTATAACTCACAACCTGTGATGTACAACTTCTGAGTAATACTTTGAACTTCTCTTATAACTTCATGTTGAGTTCCCCTGCTATTGATCCCTCGCGATGAAGGTCCACCGTGGACTGTCGTGATGATGTAGGAGCGGACGATGCAAAACTCCATAGGTTCTGTGAATTGAGCCTATCTACCTAATTCGGTGGACACTAGAATATGAACCTGCCTACCTACTTTTAGTCCATCTACAAACTTCTAACTGAAGAACAACCCAATTCTGAATAGAATTCGCACCCTTGATGATTACAACCAGCTTGAAGAAAGATCAATGTTAATGCAGATGTCACCGCCTATGGCACCACCACTCAAGAGTGATTCTCAGTGGAGTAGAGTAGCAATGCCATAGATCAAGAGCTGTTGTATGCAACGCCCAACTCCAAAATTGCACGTGAAGTTGAGTACTAGAGGCGCAAGGAACCACCAAGAAAGAAAATCCAAGGCTTGCACCCCGTTCCTTGTTCCAACCAGTAGCACAATCGGAAGCTCCAAGAAATAGTTTTCGCACCACCAGTTCTTAAGACCAAATTTGTTAATCTTTCGTGCTCCAGTTTCACTTGAATGACAACCACGACTCAATTCCAATTTGCTCGAGAGAAGGAAATAATAAAGGTATGGAAGCTCAACTCGATACAATGAGTCAACCTTCTTCGGGATTGCTATTCTCCACACTCAAAATTCCATAGTTAGAATCGCGTAGCTAAAGCCAAGTCCCTGCAGCTGCTTAATTGATTTGACTTAAGGGAAGGCGAGAAGACAATGAGTTGTAGCAGCTCCGGTGGACAGCTGCCTCGCCCCATCGTGCCCTTGAATTCACTGACTAGTTGCAGTGACCTTCGCATAGTCAAGTAACGACAAGTTATTGGAGCCACAAGGGATGGTGCAAAACTACACCACTGCACACCACACAAACACAAAGAAGAACCGCCAGCAGCCAATGGAGAGAACTAAAGATTCCACTGGCTCCGTAGAAAGTGCACCGCAAGGGTACAATTCAATAAAAGAACAAAAAAAAAAAAAAAAAAAAAAAAGCACGATCAATAAGAGAACAGAAGAATAAAAAAGAATCAATTGAGGGAAGGAACAAGAATCCTGACCAGCGATAAAAGAAGGAAAAATCTAGGAACTACTATTAGCAAATTCAAACGGATTGGGAGGCACAAGAAAAACAACACGAGAGAAAAAAAAAAAAAAAAAAAAAAAAAAAAACAATTCGGAGAGAACCTGATTGATAATGACCAATCAGCAAGGGAAATTGAGACAAAGAAGTTTTGATAGGAAAACTACACCGCACCCCTCTAGTGGCACCAATGTAGATACAAGAAGAATCAAAGCGTCATTGATGACCTACCTCCTTGCATGCAAATAAATTGCTGCAATACAGCAGCACTGAGGCAACACCAACCAAAGGACGCCTATGCCAAAAAATCCCCAACAACAGCTCCAACCGTCGGTTGCAGCAAGTAGACAAGGCAACCCAAAAAACGTCGTGATACCATTGCCACCACATGCTAGAGATCACCGGCTCCAGCCACAAAAACACACTGAGCTATACAGATCTCTCAGGTCCAAGAAGAAAAAATTAAGAGAGAGAGTTCAATCGTGCGGGGGACCCTTTTTGCCAACCGCTTCGACGACAGCCGAATTCTTCCAATATCTGGATCAGGACCTCCTCAAAAACCCACCACTGGATAACCGCCATCCGATACACAATCCATTATATAGCTGTTGGATTCTCACCATATCGTATGTTGTATGTCTAGTATGATACTTGTATTTAGTACACATTATCCAACCATATACAGCCAATATTTTGACTGTATTCAACTTGTCTTACACCATCTCCATATTCTATTAGTATCTTGTATTAGTAATATATTGTATTTCATATGGCCTTTGTACAATAACCATTCTGTGGTGAACCATATACCATATATTATATAGTATTTAAATCTAGATTATACTAAAATTTTGACTATTCTAGATTCAATCTAGCTGCTCCAAAGATACTAAAAATATGCCAATTTGATGCCTTCTAAGATACCTTCTACATGGGAAATTCTACTAGATTTTCTAAACTAGATTTTCTTTTTTGTTCTTACAGTATTTTGCATGTATCTAGTCTTTTTAACCTAATCCTTCACCTAATAATTGCACTTGGCATTCTAATTGCATTCTTTTGTTCTAACACAAATTGTGAATCAATTTGATGATTTACAACTTACATAAGCAAAGGACCTTTTCACCTAACTATGCATGGTTCTTTATTCATCATTTGAAATCATTGTGAGATTTTACTTAGTTGATGATGTCAGTCACCTAATTGACTCACTTGTAGATTTAAATGCAAAAAATTCACTTATGATCCTTAAAGTTATTAGTTTACGAAGTTAATATAGGAATTTTGAAATAAATAGCAATTAATAGGATGTAGTAGTTAGAGTAGGTCATTTGCAAAAATTCCTTGAAAACAAATTTCAAAGTAGATAGCCTTTTCTTCATTTAGCTAATATAAGTCTTAATGTGATAGTAGTGGTTTTTATTGATATTAAAAGATTTAAGTTAGATTAGAAGGTGAGGTGGAATCCTTGATTCAAAACAATCTAACAAAGACAAAAGAAAAAAAAATAGAAAGAAGAGTAAGAAAGTAGAAAAAAAGAAAAACAAAAAAAGAAAGAAAAAAGAAAAATAAAAAGAAACAAAATGAAATTAAAATAAAATAAAATAAAATAAAATAAAATGGAAGAGAAATAAGATGCTGCTCCTAAATTTTGGCAACTTTTTGCTAATAGGAGTTTGCGCTGCCTCGGATCCTATCTCTTTTTATCTTTTTTTGTGAGTTTTTTTTATGGATGAGTTTCAACTTCAATTTTTTTTAAGTTGTCTTCTACTTATTTTTTGTGGTTGTGCATTACAAGAGGAGAAGGAGGCATTTATGTGTTATGCCAAATCCATTTTTGCAATGCTAGTGGTGTCAAGGAAGCATTTCTAGCCTCATAAAAATACAGTTTTGGTGGTAGAAGTGTGGCACTGGACTTCTTTTGGTGTTGTTTTGAAGTTGGAGATGTTGTTGGAATGGTATTGTATTGTAGTTCTATAATATAAAGTGGTGGTGGTCGTGTGAGCTAAAATAAACCTCCACTAGTTGAAAATTTATTCTAATCTACAATAAGTGAATTAACTATTTAATTCTTAGAACTTTTAGTTCTTATTTAAATCCTAATGAAATCACTCTCAACCTCTTTGAATCACCTCTACTAATTGGAGTTATTCCTAGCTCACAACAATGGAATTAACTATGCAATTTGACAAATTGTAGCCCTTATTTGATCCAATTTAATCCACCCAAAAAAAACACCTTAATTCATCCAAGTAATCAAGCAATTCCTACTACCAACTCACACATATAAAAATAAGTCACTCCAAAATGTTATGCAACTTAAAAATCATCATTACTACCATTCCAATTTATTTATTTATTTATTTATTTTATCATTATTATTATTATTATTATTTGTTTTAATTTTGAATTAACATTCATCTATCAAGAAGAATTCATCCTTGAATGACAATTCATCTACATACTTCATCCGTATTATAAAAATTCATCCTTGATTAAATTTGTCATCCAAATTCAATTATTCATCCAACTAACATAATTTAGTATAAACCCTAATTCCTTTGGTTTCTAACCTAACTTCATCTAGATCTGAATTCTATCTATGTATAAATTCATCCAATCTAAAATCTCACCCTTGGGTGAGATTGATTCTTGTGTTTACTCTCATCTGGAGATTGTGGTTGCTCCAGACGCCTTCTTCTAACAATATTCCGTGCATGTGAATGGCTTCGCACTACAATAGTGCCTTCCTTTAAAAATCTACAGTGCAAACCTCACCAACAAGACCATCATCTAGGAGAAACTACAACTAGGATCAAGGATCAGAGAGCTCAGGAAGAATTAAATCTATGGAAGCAGCAATTACTACATAGCCCGTCCTTCAACTACTGCGAGCTGTGTCACATCCCACTGCACGTTGCCAAAGAGTGTGTCCAAGCAGACCACCCCAACAGCGGTGATCTTTATCCTGGATGGAATGGAGAAATTATAACCCGAAGAGTAGAAATGGCAAGTACTCTTAGATAGTAGTAGTGTTCAAGGATCGGCCAAGGAAGAGCATGAATGCGAGGGAGCAGCAGCTCGAAGAGAATGTGGTGCTGAGGAGAGAATGAGAATCAGGGACACATTAGAGATAGTTTTTTGCACTTGGTCGCAAGTCGGAGGTTGACGCCAACATCCTCCACAAGGCATTTTGCCAACAATATCGTCTAATTCTAAGCTCCCACACCGACTGTAAAAAGGAAGGTTGATGTCCGCAGTACTCAACGGAACGAGGAACAATCCGCCACCACGCCAACCAATGCGCACACAACACATGAATGCTCCTGATGGCCCCTTTCTTCCACGATTTAGTACCACATTCTACGCAGCATAAAACTCCACCACCAGTACCGCTTTGCACCAGCTTGCACGATCTCAATCTAAAGGCAGCTTCACCGCAGCACCTCAACGGCATCTTGTAGTCGTACCAAAAAAAAAAAAAAAAAAAAAAAAAAAAAACCCAAGAAGATATCGGTGCACCGCAGCACTCCCATTCAAAAGGACGCAGAGCAAAACTCCTCGAACGGCCACTGCTTCCGCCCTTTCGAGTTCCATACACCCAACACGACAGCTTTCATAGCATGCACCAATTGCAACGGGCTCTAGCCATGCTGCTGAAATTGTCCAAAACGGAAACCGAAAGAGAAAAAAATGGAAGCAGTCGCCAAAGCCTTCCCCGTACCAATGCTGCCCTTGCTGCGCACCATCCCCCACAATGGACTCCAAAAAAAAAAAAAAAAAAAAAAAAAAAAACACACACACACACCAAGAAATGGCCAATGCAAACAACTTCACAATCTATGGAGCTTGGAAACCTTCCCAAAAAAATTCAATACAAACAAGTTCGGATTGTCGTCACTTGGGTACTCTCTCAGTGACTGTTCTGCTGCACCTCAGCAAAGAAAAAATACTTACGACACCACCGCAACCAGAATCAAAAGTAAAACATTAAAAATAAATAAATAATTAAATAAATAAAATGTTGAGCTTTCCAGATTTTGCCTTCCTTGGGGGCTTTCTACAATCAAGAATATTCAATCAAAATAAAAGGAGAGGGAAAACAAACCCGGTCCTTGACTATTACATTGCAATCCCAAGTTCCAACCGTAACACAGTTGCTTCTACCGCTGCACTCACGGGACAAAGACAGCCCATAGTCACACCATTTGTAGTCACCACATGGCACTTGTTGCACCGTAGAGAGGAAAAAGGAACAACTATGCTATCAAAGCTTTAGTTGCCACGAGGTCAACCCTTGACGACAAAGGGATCAATATCACTAATCACAACAAGGAAAATGCTGCACCGTAGCAAGAGACATCTCCACACCACCTATGAATGGACACGAAGAAGGGGAAAAAAAAAAAAAAAAGAAAAAAGAAAGAAAGAAAATGCCATGAATTGCAACCGCAGCACTATTGCATACACCAGCCCGTCAGAAGAGAAGACAAAAGGCACCCTTTGGAGCTCCCAGAGCCAGGACGGAAAAAATCAAAAAATAAAATAAACAAGAGAGAGACAAGGATCCAGGCGACTGGACCCTACTGCCAAAGAGGCTGCAGCCGTTCATAGGCAGCCTCTCGCCCCCCTGTTCATCTTTCTGTTTATTTATTTTTTCTTTATTTTATTTTATTTTTCTTTCTCTTCATTTTTTTATTTTTATTTTTTCCCCCTTCTCTATTCTTCTTCTACTCTTTTAATATATGTATATATATATATATATATATATATATACATATTTCTTTTCTAATCTATTGTTCTCTTCCTATTTAGTTGTTTAAAGCTACCAAGGTGATTTATTTTTATTTTATTTTTCTTTGTGTTGTTTTGGTTTAAGGATCCTATTTAATTTTAGCTCTATTAAACATTTAATGGAGATAAGACTACTATTAAAATCATAATTTTTTATTGGCTAATCTTAAGAAAAGATATATAATTTTAAATCCCTTCTCAAAGACAACTCAACAAGAAGTCCATTCTTGCAACCAACATTCTATTTTATTTTTATATCATTTATTTATTTATTCTATTTATCTCAAAACTCCTATACTAACTTACTAAGATAATGACTTAAAGCACTTTAAGTGTATTTTTAGTACTAAAACACACAAGTGAGTCAAATTCGTGAGTCAAATTCGTGACTCACAGTTCGATTGCAAGTGTGGCAAGAAGGGAGCTCTGGTGTTCTCTTAGCTACTGTGTAGCAACCTTCTTTCTTCCTTATTAGCGGAGGTGCAAAAATTTGGTGTTGTGGGGCTTCGATTACAATGGAGTCTCTCTTTATTTTGTTTCCTCGGATTCGAGAGCTCTGTAAAGATATTGATTGTGTGTGTGGCTGGTTTGGTGGCCCTTCTCCCAGTTGAGGTGCTGCGGTGCAACACCGGGTTTCCAGTGACTAGCATTCTATCGCATCGGTTTTTTTCAGACTTCTTTTGGTAGTTTTGTTCTTCTTGAAATAGAGGAGCCTGAACTGCTGGATTGCGTTGTGGTAACTGTTCCAATTGGGAAGCGAGTTCAACCCGATTGTGTGACATTAGTTGATGTGTGTGTCACATTACGTGGGAGGGTTCTTGAATTGCGATAAGAGTGAGCTGCCACAATAGCTAGGCAGAAGTATCAGAAGGGCTGTTGACGTGAAGAGACTGTTCAGTCGACTCTTAATCTTGAGCAAAGTCATCGCTGTTGACGTGAAGAGGCATCCAATTTTGGAAGTGTACTGCTTCACGTGAAGAGACTGTTCAGTCGACTCTTAATCTTGAGCAAAGTCATCGCTGTTGACGTGAAGAGACTGTTCAGTCGACTCTTAATCTTGAGCAAAGTCATCGCTGTTGACGTGAAGAGACTGTTCAGTCGACTCTTAATCTTGAGCAAAGTCATCGCTGTTGACGTGAAGAGACTGTTCAGTCGACTCTTAATCTTGAGCAAAGTCATCGCTGTTGACGTGAAGAGACTGTTCAGTCGACTCTTAATCTTGAGCAAAGTCATCGCTGTTGACGTGAAGAGACTGTTCAGTCGACTCTTAATCTTGAGCAAAGTCATCGCTGTTGACGTGAAGAGACTGTTCAGTCGACTCTTAATCTTGAGCAAAGTCATCGCTGTTGACGTGAAGAGACTGTTCAGTCGACTCTTAATCTTGAGCAAAGTCATCGCTGTTGGGGGACTTCGTTGCTCTGCTCCACGTCCCAAGGAAGCGAGGGCGTTAGGTGGCCTACGTGCACCGACGCTGAAGGACCATCGCTAATCAACCTGTGGTGCTCGCCGACATTGTCCGACTCATCACCAACCTTCTTGTTTCGTAAGAAATCTCAGAATGAGTTGCATGCAAATCAACTATTGTACTATCAACTTCAAAATAAAAACAACAAAAAAATAATAATATACAACTAAATCAAAGGATGTCACAAAAACAATCTACTATAGCTACTACCAAAGAATCAATCACAATTGGAGCAAAACAAATCTAACGACACTACCGCCACTACCAACTTCAACAACTTCTACAATCATTCTAAGTTAAAAAGGAAATAGTATTGGGGCCTTTTTAATGATAGAGAATACAAACAATAATACTAGGGGGAATATAAACTACAATGCAAGGATAAATATAAACCACAATGCTAAGGAGAATATAAACTACAAACTCTGTCTATTGTAGAGCTTTGCAATAATATACAAAAACGTAAAAAGAAAAAAAGAAAAAAGCAAAAGAATGTGACCAAGGTTTAGAACTGCCCCAGATCCCTACAACTCTAGGAAATTCGACCAACATCTATTCAGCTAATAAAGTTTTTTTTTTTTTTTTTTTTTTTTTTTCTTCATACTAGTTGCCTACCTTCTTTCACTATTTTTTTTTTCTTTCTTTTTTTTTTAATAAATTTGGATCAATGATTTCTTTTAGCTTTAAGCCTAATTAAATATTTAAAAATAATAAAAACTACTATTATAAAATCATAAATTTATATTAGCTAAATTAAAGAGAAAATATTTATTTTAAAATTCATTCTTTAAAAAATTCTATAAGAGATCCATCCTTACAATTGACATTCTAATTTTTGCTATTTATCTCAAATTTCTTACATTAATTCACTAGAGTAGTGACTTTAAGTACCATAAGTGCATTTTATTATATTAAATACACAAGTGAGTCAATTTTGTGACTTATACCCTTATACAAGCTTTTGTTATAAGTACTAGACTTGGATTTGGAAGCCAAAGGAAGAAGAGAAAATTAGATAATAAAGAAGGATATGGCAAAAAGAATCTAATAGTGCCAAAACTTAGTAGACTCAAAGTTTTATGACAAAGACAAAAAAGAGTTCAAAAAAAACATACATAAGTGAGACTACCTAAGCTATGCAAAGAAGCATGTCCAGAGTGTAGTAATCTAAATATATTCTCTACTAGAGTCACCAAAATTGTGTGCAAAAATTGCCAATACATAATTGTAAAAGAAAATAATCGTATTGCATTAGATAAGAAAAGATTCAATATTAACCAAGATGTAGAATTGTTCTTCAAAGATTTAGATTTTTATTAAAAATGTGGATGCAAAATTTGGTGCTTTGTATAAGGATTTGATTTGATTTGATGATATTTTATATGTGACATTTACCATTATATATAATAAAGAATCATTTTAGAAGTGGTTTTTATGACCATACTATTATGATTACTATATTTTTTTTAATTATAAAATTACTTGGATATATAATGCTTGTAGAAAATATTTTATAATTTGCAAAATATTTTGAAGGAAAATTTCACAATATTTTTTATGAATTATATGTAATTTAAATATTTAATTAAAAAATAAAAAATATAGCCAATCTATATTTTATTTCTTATAAAAAGAAATAGTCAATAATAAATCTTTATTTAAAAAGTCTATGTATTTGAGACAAATTTAATGAATAAATTTTTTAAGTTGCAAAAATTCTTCCTGGAAACAAAAATATCATGTTCATGTATGACTGCCGTTGTGTATGGCAACACAAGAGGCGATGTTGTTTAGTCTCTCTTCCTTCGTTTTTTCTCCTTTGGCCTGGTCCTTGCATGTTCTCGATGGCCCATCGAGAACATGCAAGGCAGTTGTTCTACGTTGTTCGACGATTTTTTTGCTCTTGGATTACGATGGGTGTGGAAGCTGTGTTGTGTGGCGTCCATGGTTTGAAGTAGGTGACTAGTCTTCAATTGTTCCTTGTGTGCTCAGTCTATTAGAACAATTACTGTCCTGTTCTTCCATGTTTTGCTCATTGTACTGCGGCTCCCAAAGTGGCAAAGTTCCGCCCTTGACAATTCCGATTTTGTGCAGTGCTACCTTGCATGTTCTCGATGGGCGGCGTTGTTGTTACAGCAGTTGAATTGTGGTGTTTGTGTTGCGGCGTTGTTGATTATCACCTTTGCAGCTGCGTTACTCGGCGCCGACAGAGTACGGCTGGACGCTTCTTGATTTTTGGTTGTCTTTGATTACCGTTTTCGTTCCGCGGTGGCGCTGCCCATGTTGCGGTGAAGCGTCAAAATTCCTAAGTGTTGCGGTGTTGATACACCGTCGGCGTCCATTTTTTTTTCTTTTCTTGTGCAAGACTCTGTTTTTACCAAGGCGCTGATCTTTTGAGCTCCTGAGGTTTTTTGCTCGGCGGTGGTGTTGTTCTGATTTTGAATTTGGATCAAGGTCGTTCAGAGTTCTATTTTTGCTAGCTCTTTCAATTAGCTTGCAGTGGAGTAGCGTCCCCACTGTGGACTCTTTAATTGTGGACTCTCATCCAATTTTGAGGTTGCATGCGGCTGGCCGACGTGATCTGTCATGTTCTCAAGTTGAGGCTGCAACGTCCTTGGTGTTGGATCAACGGCTCTTCCTCTACGGTGGCTGAGGATTCTGGAGTGCCGAGCCTAGGCGAGCGGCGGTTAGTTGACAATGTGTGTGTCGTGCAACAGATTGGCATTATCTCAATGGGCATCACAAGCTCTACAATCTAATTGGCGATGGATTGCTGTGTCCATACTACTATTGGATGTAGCTGCCGCATGTAATAATTTACAATTCTTGACCAACATTTTCATCAAAACATCTTATTTTTTTACTCTTTAGGTTGTTACTATTCAAAACCATCATTTGCATGCAATAAGACAACAACAAATATTTATTTGTGTGTTGGATTTGTCTAGTATTGCATCTTAGAATCAGAGGGAAAAAAACAAGGTTTATGTTATTAAAGTTGTTGGTATCTAATATGTGAGAGCTTTTGGATTATTATTAAAGCCATCAACTAAGTGAACTTGGTTGTTCTTCTTATCTGCATGTGGTTTTGAAGTAGTATGCCATCAATTCTTTAATTGCAACTTTTCAATCTAATTATTCATCCAACTTAAAGATGATGGATGGATTGAAGGCAAAGTTAAAAAAAATATATATAAGATGAATTATTTGGAAGAATTTTATTATTGTTTACAAGTGGAGTTTGTAAGAGATTGTATTATTAAGACCATTATAATGAATGAAAGTAAGTATATTGAAGAGGTATTGAAACAATTTAATATGGACAAGTGCATTTCTATTGGAACACCTTTGGAGATTATTATAAAGTTATTAAAGTTCACAAATGATGAGTTTGTTGAAGTTGAAGGTCAAATACAAGGTATTCTATATATGACAATAATAAGCTCTCTTATATAAGCAATGGTTGGCATAAAGATGGATCTTACATATGCAATGAATATTGTGAGTCAACACATGTCAAAGCTTAGACAAGCTCATTGGACATCCATCAAAAGAATCATGAAGTACTTAAAAGATATTTTGCACTTCAAATTATATCTTGGAAGTGATTACATTATTATTCATGATTATTTTAATATAGCTTAGACTTGAGATGCAAATAATAGAAGGTCAACAATGGAATATTTGTTCTTTGTTAGAATAAAAGATATCTCATGGAATTACAAGAGACAACTAATAATTATAAAGCCCATAATAGAAACAAAGTATATGGTAGTAAACTATGGTATAATAGAGATAATATGACTAATAAGTTTTGAAGGACATTAAATATGTACAATTGGAAGAAATTCTAATGAAGTGTGATAATGAAGGATGACTTGTTTTTGCAAAGAATCCAAAGCATCATTTAAAAATCAAATATATTAATATTTAATATCACTTTAAAAAAAAATTGAAATACAAGTGATTAAGATGAAATATTGTACAATAAAAGATATATATGCAAATATATTGACAAAGGCATTAATAAAGGATAGACATTATGTGTTAACAAAGATATTAGGTTTGAAAGTCTTTGACAAATAGCAAGATCAGAGAATTAAATTAAGTAAAAATAAAAATAAAATAAGTTATCTTATAAAAAAATATAATCTTATATAAGTTGTTAATTTTTAAATGATTATCTCTTGGTATGTAAAAAGGTTATCTTATAAATAAGAAACAAGGTCAAGGACCAAGAGACTAGGTCAAGAAGTTAAAAGATCTATTAGGAAATATTTAAAGATTAAGTAAGAATATAAAGTATATGCCATAAGATATCTTTATAGTAGGTGACATGCCAAAAGATCCTAGGAGTATAAAGCATATATTAAAGCTTATTCTAATAGAAGATAAGATACTAAAAAATATACTTGATTGTCTTCTAGGGTAGCAACCGCTACATATAAGTAATTATTGTTGGAAGTGAAAGTCATCTTATACTATACTTTTTTTTGTGTGCAATCTTATTAAAGCTATATATTAAGCCTACTAACTTGTTTTTTTTCAATAGACAGAGAAATTTCATCTTTGACCAATAAAATTAATATTAATTTTTTATTTAATATTTTTTAATTAAACCTAATCAAATATGTCTTTAAATCTTCTCGTTCATAAAATAAAAAATAATTCTTCTAAATTTCATAATACTTCTAAGGTTGAATTCAAGAACAATTTATTTTATTTTAATAAACTTTTGTATATTCTAAAAAGTAAAGCACAACTATATGCTATTTAAACTTATTACAATTTTCTAGCTAAAGGACATTTTGGATACAACAAAATCTTGTAGTTAATATGAATAGATTTTTGGTGGCCTCAAATATAGATTGCATTTAAAGACTTTGTAAAAATATGTGATATTTGTTTATAATTAAAAATTCTTTATTATTGGCCTTAAAGACTTTTTCAACTACTATCTATACCAAAACAACCATGGCCTTTTTTTTATAGATTTTATCATGAATCTTCCAATTTTAAGTTCATATAACTTTATATTTATGATTGTATATAACATAGTGCTTTTAAAATTTATTAATTGTGTTCTTATTTTTAGCTCTATTTTATTAGTCTTGCTCAATGTTAAGACACAATTTTAATGTATTTTGATGCACTAACCTATTGTTTATATTAGTGCCATAACATAGATTTATATGATTTCATATCTTATTTAATAATTCAATCATTTGTAGTAGATTAATTTTTAATGATAATATTCATAAAGATCATATTTAATATATATATTAATTAAAATAAAATACATATTAATTATATCCATATGTATAATTATAAGTTAAAATATTTTAATCATAATATTGAGATATTATATTTTATTAAAATGAATTATTGGTATATTAATTTAATATTTTTGAAACTTGGTTAAAATTTCTATATACAATTAATATATAATTATATATAATTTTATTTTAGTACAACTTATAAGAAGATAAATAAAACTATTTAAGATGGCTCTTTAATGTATATAATTTTTACTACTTCAAATTTTTATTAGCAATGCTCTAATAATAAAATGTTTACAAATTATAGATGCATTGCTACTAAATTATTAATCGACTCAAATAAAATAGTTATAATTAATTTTTTTATATTTATTAATAGATAATAATATCAATTTTATATATGGTATTTTTTTTGTATTGCTTTGTATTCAAATTCACACATTAATTAGTATTTTATTATATTCCTACTAAAATACGTATTAATTTTATTAATAAAAAAAAAAATCAATACTTAATTTTTTTTCTACTATTTATTAATTCTCTCTATAGCGCACAACAAATATGTTGCAAAAATAAATAAATAAAAAAAAAAACCAATTAAATTTAATAAATTTAAAATTTAAAATTTATCAAAAATGTCAAAGAAGAAAGTTTTGCCAATTCATGTGGCAAGCTTGTCAAGCTTAAGCATCTTCTCAAATCAAGTATTGTTAAAGAAAAAAAAAAAACTACTAATTCCTTTTACAAGTTTGTTAAGTTTGACCAATCCCTTAAATCAAGTTTTGTCAAAGAAGAAAGATAAGCCAATTCATGTAGAAAGCTTCTCAAGCTTAAATAACTTTTCAAATTAAGCCATTTCAAAGAAGAGAGATTTGTTATTTCATGTAGGAAGCTTGTCAAGCTTGAGCACAAACTCAAATTAAGTATTATCAAAGAAGAAAGATTTGCTATTTCATGTAATAAGCTTATTAAGTATAAATAACAACTCAAATTAAGCCATGTCAAAGAAGAAAGATTTGTCAATTCATGTGGCAAGCTTGTTAAGCTTGAGCATCCACTTTAATTAAGTGATGCCAAAGAAGAAAAATTTGCTAATTCTTTTAACAAGTTTTTCAAGCTTGAGCATCTACTCAAATCAAGTATTTTCAAAGAAGAAAGATTTGCTATTTTATGTAGCAAGCTTATGAAGCTTGAGCATCTTTTCAAATTAAGCCATTTCAAAGAAGAAAGATTTGATATTTCATGTGACAAGCTTGTGAAGTTTGAGTACCTACTCAATTTAAGCCATTTCAAATAAGAAAGATTTGTTATTTCATATAGCAAGCTTGCCAAGCTTAAGCATCCACTCAAATCAAGCTTTGTCAAAGAAGAAAGATTTTTTATTTCATGTAGCAAGATTATCAAGTTTGAGCATCCATTTAAATTAAATAAGTTCAAAGAAGAAAGATTTGCTAATTCCTTTGGCAAGCTTGTTAAGCTTGAATAACTACTAAAATTAAGCCATGTCAAAGAAGAAAGATTTGTCCATTCATGTCAGAAGCTTGTCAAACTTGAGCACCCACTCAAATTTAGTACTGTCAAAGAAGAAAGATTTTCTATTACATGTGGCAAGCTTGACAAGCTTGAGTACCTACTCAAATCCAATATTGTCAAAGAAAAAAGATTTGCTATTTCATATAGTAAGCTTATAAAGTTAGAACACCTTTTTAAATTAAAAAATTTTAATGAAGAAAGATTTGCTATTTCATGTGAGAAGCTTATGAAGCTTGAGCACCTACTCAAATTATGCCATTTCAAAGAAGAAATATTTGTTATTTTATGAGGCAAGCTTATCAAGCTTAATCATCCACTCAAATGAAGTTTTGTCAAAGAAAAATGCCTTGCTATTTCATGAGAAAAGGTTGTCAAGCTTGAGTACCCACTTAATTCAAGTTTTGTCAAAGAAGAAAGATTTGCTATTTCATGTGCCAAGCTTGTCAAGCTTCACCAACTACTCAAATCAACTATTGTCAAAGAAGAATGATTTGCTAATTCATATAGCAAGCTTATTAAGCTTGAGCAACTATTCAAATTAAGTGATGTTAAAGAAAAAAAATTTATTATTTTATGTGGTAAGCTTATCAAGCTTGAGCACCCACTCAAATCAAGTTTTGTCATAGAAGAAAGATTAATTATTTCATATGGCAAGCTTGTCAAGCTTGAGCAACCACTCAAATGAAGTGATGTCAAAGAAGAAAGATTTTTTATTTTATGTGGTAAGCTAATCAAGCTTGAGCACGTTCTCAAATCAAATTTTGTCAAAGAAGAAAATTTTGCTATTTCATGTGGCAAGCTTGTCAAGCTTGAGCACCCTCTCAAATCAAGTTTTATCAAAGAAAAAAGATTTGTTATTTCATGTGATAAGCTTGTCAAGCTTGAACACCCTCTCAAATCAAGTTTTGTCAAAGAAGAAAGATTTGCTATTTCATGTGGCAAGCTTGTCAAGATTGAGCAACTCCACAAATTAAGCCATTTCAAAGAAGAAAGATTTGCTATTTTATGTGGTAAACTAGTCAAGCTTGAACATTCACTCAAATCAAGTTCTATCAAAGAAGACAAATTTGCTATTTTATATAGCAAGCTTGTCAAGCTTGATCACTGATTCAAATCAAGTTTTGTCAAAGAAGAAAGATTTGCTATTTCATGTGGCAAGCTTGTCAAGCTTGAGTACCAACTCAAATCAAGTTCTATCAAAGCGTTAGGGACATAGTCCTTAGAACCTTCTAGAGACAAACTTCTAGAACCTTCTAGAAGAAAGTCTCTGGAACCTTCTAGAAGCTTCTTAGTTGGTAGAAGATGTTAGGGACATAGTCTTTAGAACCTTCTAGAGATAAATTTCTAGAACCTTCTAGAAGCAAGTCTCGGAAACCTTCTAGAAGCTTCCTAGTTGATAGAAGTTGCTTGAGAAGCTTCCTAAATTGGAGTATATATTGGAATCGAGGCTGAAGAGTTCTTCAGTCTCGACAACACATCTCTTAGAGCTCTAGCTCACCTCTCTGGTATTGTTCTTGTATTCATGTGATTAATCTAGTTCTTGCCAGTTCTTCTTGAACTTCTTAGTAGATATCAAGTCTGTATTCTGTGTTCGTGACAGTTTGTCGAGACTTCACTCACCTCAGATATCAGAGCTAATTTCTTCTTTATTAGAGTGTGGATTACCCCTCTGCTTGGAAGTATACTAGCACTTTAGAGGTTGCGGATTACCCTCCTCTAAACTGATACTTCTTTTGTTACAATATTGGAGTCTTATTCTTCTTGGAGAGAGTGGATTACCCCTTTTCTTGAAGCTCTTAAGGCATTTTAGAGGTTGCGGAGTACCCTCCTCTAAACCAATATTGTCTTCTTGTAGAGTCATTTCTGTCCTTCTCTTAGAATGGTCGGGGGCCAAGACATTAGTATGATGGAAAGTTCATAGTCCAAGTTAGGTGCTATCATGAATGCCCTCGCTACGTTATCGCAAAGAACTACAAAGATTGAAGAAGTCGTGGCAAGGCTTCATAATGATGGAGCATCTGGGATGGCACAATCTAGGTTGCACCAGCCTCAAACTTCTACACTTGGAGAAGCAACTTTGCCTCAGGTTCGATAAGCACCGCTGGTTCTATAACATAAGGAACCTCGAGTTAGCCTTCCGGACAAGTTCGATGGTACACGTTCCAAGTTTCGAGGATTCATCAACTAAATCAGGTTGATAACAGTTTTACAACCCGAATGCTATCCAACGGAGGAGTCATGTGTTGGGCTTGTTGGAACCTTACTTACAGGACAAGCTCTATCATGGTTTGCTCCTTTGTTTGAGAAACGATTGTCCATACTAAACAACTTTGAAACCTTTTTGGAGGCATTTGCGGAAGCATTTGGTGAACACGACAAGGTTCGATGGGCTACAACAAAGATCCGGTCACTACGACAAGAGATGCGTTCTACATCAGTCTATGCATCAGACTTCAGGCAATTAGCATGCGACATCAATTGGGATGAAGAAGCGTTGATGAGTCAATTCTATTGGGGTTTAAGGGACGATGTAAAGGATTTGTTGTTAACTCTTCTTGATCCGCAAACGCTCAACGAAGCTATTAGCTAAGCTATGAAGTACAATAACCGCCTATTTCAACGTCACCAAGACCAACGTTCAAGACAACATACGGTTCGCCACACCCCAACTATGTCGGCAAGCAACGTGAATTCACATTCAAAGGTAGAAGACATGTAAATTGATGCAGTACGTAGCAAATCCCTTACTCTAGAAGAAAAAAAGCAGCGTATGGAGGAAAGTCTATGCTTGTATTGTGGTGAAGAAGGCCACAAAGTTGGAAACTACCCCAAGAAGAAAAATCGACGTATTATGAAGACTAGGGGCACGTTTATTCAAGAAAACGAGGATGCCCAGCCACAATAGGAACCGTGCGGCTGGACAGTGAAATATCGCAACAACAACCAGGTTCCTTTCTTTTCGCTCAACCTGCCCTTTGTTTTACAATCCCTTTACTTATTGGCCCTCAAAAACTGAGCACCTTAGCATTATTAGATTCAAGAGCATCTCCTTCTTTCTTAGACGAAGAATTTGCAAACTGTCATAAGATCCCTTTAGTACAAAAATCCAAACCTATTCACGTTGAGGTCATAGATGGACGACCTTTATTGTCTGGTAGTGTCACCCATGAATCAGAACCTATAGAAGTGACGTTTAAGGACCATAGTTATCATATTATTTTCAATATTATTAGAACCCCATCAAATCCTGTTATTCTTGGTCTTTCCTGGTTGGAAAAGCATAACCCATCGATAGATTGGAAGTTGCGAAAGATGACCTTTCTCACAAAACCACCCAAGAGCAAGCCTAGTAGAAAACCCCGAATAGAAAAATTCTTATTTATTGGAGCAAGAGTGTTTATAAGATCGTCCAAGGGAGGCACACCGTTTGTCATTTATGCGGCTCCAACTACCGGGGAGAAGATCTCGACAGCAAGTATACCGGAGCAATATAAGGATTTTAAAGACGTGTTTCAATAAAAAAATGCCGACATGCTACCGGAACACAGACCATATGATTGCGCCATAGACTTACAAGAAGGATCACAACCGCCTTTTGGCCCAATCTACGATCTATCGCAGATGGAATTGGCGGAGTTGCGGAAGTACATCGACGAGAATCTAGCCAAGAATTTCATCTGTCATTCAAAATCGTCAGCTAGAGCACCCATCTTATTTGTGAAGAAGAAAGATGGCTCGTTGCGGATGTACGTAGACTATCGAGGCCTCAACAAGGTAACAAAGAAGAATCGTTACCTGTTACCCTTGATTTCTGGTCTCTTAGAACAACTTGGACGTGTAAAGATCTTTACAAAAATTGATCTAAGGGGAGCTTACCCCTTCGTACGAATCAAAGAAGGAAATGAGTGGAAGACAGCGTTTCGTACAAGGTATGGCCATTTTGAATATAATGTCATGTCCTTTGGTCTTACCAATGCTCCAGCAATCTTTCAACATATGATGAATGACATTTTCCGAGAGCACCTTGACGATTTTGTTGTCATCTATTTGGATGATATTTTGATATTCTCCAAAATTGAAGAAGAGCATGAAAAACACGTTCGTTTGGTATTGGAGAAACTACGCGAGCGAGGACTATATGCCAAGTTGGAGAAGTGTTTATTTCACCAAATAGAGATAGAGTTTCTGAGATTTGTTGCGACTATAGAAGGCTTGAAGATGGATCCCAAGAAGGTGGAAGCAATCGTGTCTTGGGAGGTTCCGAAGACAGTTAGAGACGTACAATGCTTTCTTGGTTTTGCCAACTTCTATCGAATCTTTATCAAGAATTACTCTCAAGTTGCTCCTCCTCTCACTCGGTTGATATGCAAGGATAAGTTAGAATAGGGACCTCTAGCAGAGAAGGCATTTCAAAACCTGAAGACCGCATTTACTACGGCTCCAATCTTGATACATCCAGACTTTACAAAGGCCTTTTATTTAGAAACTGATGCTTCGGATTTTGCTTTGGGAGCTATACTTTCACAAATGGGAGAAGATAAGAAGCTCCATCTGGTTGCATTCTATTATCGAAAGTTCTCTCCTACTGAAATCAATTATGAGATCCACGATAAGGAACTTCTTGCTATAGTGGATTCTTTCCAAGAATGGTGTCACTTTCTTGAAGGAGCTGCACATCCAGTGACCATATACACAGATCACAAGAATTTGGAGTATTTCATGTCGGCTCAAGTTCTAAATCGACGTCAAGCTCGATGGAGTATGTTGCTATTTAGGTTCGATTTTATTATCACTTATCGACCTGGAAAGCAGCAAGGACTATCTGATGCCTTATCGAGGAGATCGTATCTTGTACCAAAGGCTGGAGAAGCAGCATTTGATCAACAATGTACGACATTATTGAAGCCAAAGCAATTTCAGCTTTGCGCTAGTATTATGCCAATTGATGTTGACTTCTTGAATCAGGTACGTGCCGTGACCATTGAAGATTCAGTAGCCATTGATATTAAGCAGCGTGCCAATGATGACAAGTTCAAGGTGGAGGGAGATCTTTTATACTTTGAACAGCGGTTATATATCCCAAAAGAACCAGCACGACTCCGAGTTCTTCAATCTCGCCACGATTTTCCAACAGCGGGATATTTTGGATTCAACAAGACCTTGGAGCTTATTTCTCGAGATTTTTGGTGGCCCCAAATGTGGAAGGATGTGAAAGATTTTGTCTTCTCCTGCGACATCTGTTCAAGATCCAAGAATCCTCGGCATCACCCTTATGGACTCCTACAGCCATTGCCGATTCCACGTCGATCATGGTCTTCAATTTCCATGGACTTCATCACGGACCTGCCATCATCGAACTCATTTGACAGCATCATTGTCGTGGTAGATCGGCTTACAAAAATGGCGCACTTTGTCCTTTGCAAGAAGACATCGTCCAGTGAAGTCACAACAAGGCTCTTTCTCGATAATGTGTATCGATATCATGGACTACCAGATGATATCGTATCAGATCGAGGAACCCAGTTCGTATCAAAGTTTTGGAGATCTCTCTTTGAGATATTGAAGGTGGATATCAAGCTTTCTTCGGCTTTTCATCCTCAAACTGACGGTCAAACGGAACGGGTGAACTAAGTCTTGGAACAATACTTATGATGTAGCATCAATTATCAGCAAGACGATTGGACCACATATCTGCCGCTAGCCGAGTTTGCATATAACAACACCCTCCATGCGTCGACTCAATACACACCATTCTTTTCCAACTATGGGTATCATCCAAAGCTTGATTTATTGAGTCCATCAACAAATAACAATCCAGCAGCTGAAGGATTTGCAAAACAACTATCAGAGCTTCAAAATACGTTGAAGCTTCAATTACAATCTGCTCAAGAATCCTACAAGGCATCTGCAGATAGATTTCAGAATGAAGCACCTACTTTCAAAATTGGAGATAAAGCATGGCTTCTTTGACGGAATATCAAGACCAAGCAACCATATGATAAGTTGGACTATCGAAGATTGGGACCATTTATCATCTAAAAGCAAATCAATCCAGTGGTGTACCGTCTAGAATTACCAGCTTCTATGAAGGTACATCCAGTCTTTCATGTTTCTTTGTTGGAGCCTTATCGAGAGTCATCTTTTCTTGGAAGAGTGCAATGTTCGCCACCTAGTATTGAGATCAAGAACCACGAAGAATACGAGGTTGAAAAGGTGCTGGATTCCTAGCAAAAGTGGGGCAAGTTGGAGTATCTTGTTTATTAGTGCGGCTACGACATTAATGAGCGAACGTGGGAGCCAACTGAAAATCTCACCAATGCGCCACAAAAGGTACAAGAGTTTCATCAACAACATCCTCATAAAACTAAGTTGGTTCGACAATAGCTTCTTTCTGAAGCTTGCTCACCCAAGAATATAAGAAAGGGGGAGAGCACCACCAAAATTCGTAGTTGATGTAGTTATTTTCTCCAAGATAAAATAGAATTTTTTTAGTAGCCATAGTTTGGTCTTCTGATATGGATAGCTAAGAGATAGATACTATGCCAGTCAGATTATCTCAACCGACTAGCTCACAAAGGCGACCCCGAGATGAAGAACCACCTACACCACGACGACGAGAAAAGATACCAAGTAACCGATCACTAGTGATTGTATTTGAGTCCGAGCCTACTTACGATGGTCAGCCAGAAGGCGTATTTGTAGGACAATTTCACAATGAAGATACGGAAGTTCATGCTTGGTCAGAAATTGAAGGAGTGGGCCACTACCGTTGGCTTCAAGGACCAATGAACCACTTACCTTGTGCACAACAGTTGAAGTTCATAATATTATGCGACAGATCTTCATTTTCTTGCGTTGGTACTGATTGACAACAACATTGCTTCTCAGAGACCTCGAAGCTAAAGGAGGGGGTGATATTAGGGACATAGTCCTTAGAACCTTCTAGACACAAGTTTCTAGAACCTTCTAGAGACAAACTTCTAGAACCTTCTAGAAGCAAGTCTCTGGAACCTTCTAGAAGCTTCTTAGTTGGTAGAAGATGTTAGGGACATAGTCCTTAGAACCTTCTAGAGATAAGTTTCTAGAACCTTCTAAAAGCAAGTCTCTGAAACCTTTTAGAAGCTTCCTAGTTGGTAGAAGTTGCTTGAGAAGCTTCCTAAATAGGAGTATATATTGGAATCGAAGCTGAAGAGTTCTTCAGTCTCGACAACACATCTGTTGGAGCTCTAGCTCACCTCTCTGGTATTGTTCTTGTATTCATGTGATTAATCTAGTTCTTGCCAGTTCTTCTTGAACTTCTTGATAGATATCAAGTCTGTATTCTGTGTCCGTGATACAAAGAAGAAAGATTTGCTAAATCCTTTAGCAAGCTTGTTAAGTTTGAGCAACTACTCAAATTAAGTGATGTCAAAGAAGAAAGATTTGTCCATTCATGTGGCAAGCTTGTCAAGCTTTAGCACTTAGTCAAATCTAGTTTTGTCAAAGAAGAAAGATTTGCTATTTCATTTGGCAAGCTTGTCAAGTGAGAACAATCACTCAAATTAACTATTCTTAAAGAAGAAAGATTTGTTATTTCATGTGGGAAGCTTGTCAAGCTTGAGCAACCACTCAAATAAAGTTTTGTCAAAGAAGAAAGATTTATCAATTCATGTGACAAGCTTATCAAGCTTGAGCATTCATTCAAATCAAATTCTGTCAAAGAAGAAAGATTTGCTATTTCATGTAGCAAGCTTCTTAAGCTTGAGCAACGGCTCAAAGAAAGTATTGTCAATGAAGAAAGATTTGTCAATTCATGTGGCAAGTTTGTTAAGCTTGACCAATTCACCAAATAAACTTTTGTCAAAGAAGAAAGATTTTCTATTTCATATGATAAGTTTGTCAAGCTTGAGCAATTATTCAAATCAAGTATTATTAAAGAAGAAAGATTTGTTATTTCATATGGCAAGCTTGTCAATCTTAAGCATTCACTCAAATCAAGTATTGTCAAAGAAGAAAGATTTGCCAATTCATGTGGCATGTTTGTTAAGCTTGAGCATCCTGTCAAATTAAGTTTTGTCAAAGAAGAAAGATTTGCTAATTCTTTTGGCAAGCTTGTTAAGCTTGACCAATTCATGAAGTAAACTTTTATCAAAGAAGAAAGATTTTTCAATTCATGTGGCAAGCTTGTCAAGCTTGAGCACCTACTCAAATCAAGTTTTATCAAAGAAGAAAGATTTGATATTTTTTGTGGCAAGCTTATCAAGCTTGAGCAACCACTCAAATCAAGTTCTATCAAAGAAGTAAGATTTGCCAATTCATGTTGCAAGCTTGTCAAGCTTGAGCATTTACTCAAATTAAGTGATGTCAAAGAAGAAAGATTTGCTAATTTCTTTGATAAGCTTCTCAAGCTTGAGCAACCACTCAAATTAAGTGATGTCAAAGAAGAAAGATTTGCCAATTCATGGACCAAGCTTGTCAAGCTTGTGCAACCACTCAAGTCAAGCGATGTTAAAGAATATAAGTTTGTTAATTTATCTGATATTATTTTTAAGTTGGAGTTACTTTGTAAACTTAAGTTTGATAAAGATTTTAGGTTTTTGATAGCTTTAGGTAGTACTTTGAATTCAATCCCATCTAAATTAAGTCTCAATAATGTATTATTTGTAAATAGTATTGTTGATATTGTTTCACCAAATGTAAATCTTTTAGGATCAATATTATTAATTCTTCATATACTTTCCAAAAATCTTTATTGCATATTGTAACGGGTAACTTTATTTTCTTGGAAGAATAAAAAAAAGTAAGTGGATTATATTATAGTAGCAAGAATTTTAATTTTTTGGCATTTTTTACTAAATACATAAATATTTCAAAGATATCTTCATTTAACTTTTCATTGATGTTACATATAAATATTCGTAGAGAATAAAAGTATAATCCTTTGATGATGAATCTTTTTAGAATTTTCTTCATATCATGACTAAGTATTATATCTTCTAGCTAATGAACAACATAACAAAAGAATGGTTAGAAATTACAATCCATTTGCTTTATTACATACATAAAATACATATAAATTTTAAAGAATATCATAATGCAATATACAATAAATATAAAATTATTCTTGTAAGCTATTAAAAAAATTATATTTTATTAACTTTGTAAATTATTATTTTTATATCAATAATTTTATTTAAATTATTCTATTACTATTTGAAAGAGTTATCTTTGTTGTTAATCCGTACATTGGTACCATATTCACATTCCAAATTTGTAAGTCTTTGAATTCTTTTTCTTTTTCAACAATCATTCATCCCATCTCTTATAATTGATCACGCACTTTTATTATTCCATTCTTTCCTATTTTTATCATTGATTGATGAACCAATGTATTTAAAACAGTACTTGCATCTTACTTTTCAACTCTACTTTTTTTATAGGTCCATATTTTTAATATAGTTTCTTTCATTGTACCACCTCAATCCACATTGTTACAAAGAAAATAACATATGTCCAAAAACATATTCTTTTCTTCAACTTTCAAGGCATCAAAACTTATCTTTAAAATAAGCCATATCTTGTGATTACTATCTTCTTCATCTCCATCCAAATCTCTTCCTCTCCTTAACTTTTGCAAAGCTCTTTCCCAACATCTCAACCTCTTTTGTCCTCTTAAAAATGAGCCCATTACTTTCAAACTCAAGGGTGGTCCATTACAAGATCTTACAATTTGTTTGCCAATCTCAATAAGTTCTCTAGGTAATTTATCATCATTCTTATAAGAATAAGTTGTAAACAACTTCAAACTTGCATCTTTGTCAAGTTTTTTAACATCAAATTTGTAAAATTTTGTAGGGTGGTCTTTTACCACCTTCCAATTTCGTGTTGTCACAATTAATATGCTACTTTTGTTAGAATGTAGAATATTTGTAGGTACATCATTAATATGACTCTCATTCTTCACATCATCTAAGACTAAGATGAACTTTTTAATCATCAATAATTCTTTTATCATATCTTGTGCTTCCTCTAAGTTCATTGGTTTTGGTTGAAAATTTAATTGGTTCAAAACTTTGCAAATTAATGAAAAATCATCATCCTTGGATCAATTTACTAAAATCATCACAATTTGAAGGTAACTTTGGTCTTCCACCTTTTTCAATTCTTTTCAATATATCTTCTATTTTGATCACACCTTTAAATGGATCATTTCTTGAAAGAATCTTAGAACATGTCATTGCAAAAGAATACAAATCTACTTCAAAAGCACATGTCTTAATTGATTCCATTATACTTTTTAATATCTCTGGAGCTGTGTATCTTGAAGTTCCATACATGTATTTATTTTTGTTAACTTTAGGATTCCTTCCTACATTGATCTTTGAACAACCAAAATCAATCAACTTTACGATAGCATATTGAAAATCATTATTGAATCTACCATCATCTATAATTTTGAGTAGCACATTATTTGGCTTTAAGCCTCGATGTGTAATTTGCATGTCATGCAAATAACACATTCCTCTTGCAATTTGATAAATAACATCAATAAGAAAGTAATACAACATTTATCTTTTTTCCTACAATATATCACTTAAACTTCTTTCCATCAACTCCATCACCAAATATACTTTTCTCCTTGAGTTATTCATTGTTGAAGGCTCCCCATTCTCATTTGCACTACTTTTTGCTGCATGATAATATTTGATTAAGTTTGGATGGCTTGTGTTAGCTAAGATACCCACTTCTTTCTTGAACATTGCATTAAACTCAACATCCATAATTTTTGTTGCAGTTGAAAGTCCAAACCACTTTGATTCATAGAGTTCTCCATAAGAACCTTCATTTATTTTTTTCACAAGCTCTAAACTTTTAATATCACTTAATACTTCCAAAGAATCCAACTCTCCACCTTCAATGAGCCACAAGTCCTTCAATCTTACTAGTAGATATTTTACCAATCCATGATCTTTAAATTGCGCATCTATACTTGCACAATTCAATCTTTTGTGAAATTCTTCACCATCATGTTTAACTTCTTCACAAGTAGAAAAATCAAACAATATTGGTATTATGTCCTCTAAGATTTTTGGACACTCCTTTGAAAGTAGATCAATTTCCACATCATAACAAGTCTTCAAGTCCCACAATAATTCTCTAAACATTTCCTTGTTCTCCATTTGAGAGATACTTGCTTCACACCATCGTTATTGTGCACAATCTTTTATGACCATGTACATCCTTAATGTTGTGTATTGAAATTCACAAAATAAAACTTTATATTTGCTTCTTTCATTGCTACAAGCTCTCAAGCCTTCAAATACTTTGATAACATGACCAAGTGATTTGCAAATATTTGCACATTGATTTCTATTCAAAAAGACTTTAGTCTTTAACACTTCAATTTCTTGATTGTAATTATAGGATTGAGTAAGCACATCTCCTATATAAACTTCTCTTGTTTTGAAAACAACTCCACTAACCTCCACAAACTTGTTACAAGATTTCATAGCAATTGCAAATCCAAATGTACAACAAGCAAATAAAAACCTCTTAATATTGAAACATACTTTGTAAGAAACTCCACTAGATAAGCCATGGTAAATATATAAAAATATGTATAATGTGCTTGCAATTACATAAATAAAACCTTCCTATGCATTATGCAACATTTCAATAACTTTTGGTCACCAAAAAAAGTCTTCAACATAACAAAATTATTATTGATATACTACATATGAACAAAATAAATTTCTCATTATTTTATAAATAACTTTTTATCTCTCATTATTTTATATACAATAACTATTTACACATACAAATAAAATAATAAATAAACACTCATTTCAAATGTCTCATCATCTATATAAAATCATTGTGATTGATACTTATACCTTAAAAAATACCTAGCATTTGATTATTAACCATACTCCTTTGTTTACTCAAATAACCATAGATTCTTGAAATGTTATTTGATTGCCATAAAACTTTCTCACAAAGACAATACAAACATTAACAAAACTAATTTATTCGACAATCCTTCAACATGTTTTATACAAAGAAAATTGATTCATATATTTGATAAACATTAAACTAAAATTTTTTCTCATTGCACCACCCATCTTTCAATTATCTTACAAGACTATTTGTTTATTATTTTACAACTGTGTTATATCATGAAACTACTCTATTAAAATTGTCATCTCTTCTTAATTCTTCAATCCTTTGTGTTTCTTTAATCACTCATTATACTAATGACACAACTAAAGTAATCAATGTGTAAAAAGTTCACTCTCTACAACAAATGAGGTAAATGGCTATAAGCTTGAAGTGAATTAAATTTCTAATAAAAAGAAAGAAACAATAACGCTTCTACTATGTCAAATCACAAATATATGAATCAATATATGAATAACATGACTTACCTACACAAGCGACATTATACATTTAAGTTTACGACCTTCCATGGCACATGTCTAGTGATGAAAATTAAATGTAACTCAAGAATTTAATGAGGGTTTAATTTTCTTTGTGCACCGTTGAAATATGTTGTCATTAAGTACATCAAAATGAACACCAACTCTTTCACGATTGAAGATATAGTAGATCTGATCCGCGACTAAAGTTGAGTATTACCTGCAGTGGAAGAGATCCAGGTCAAATCTTCTGTTCAGAAGATTGAGTCTTTCAAGATATATGACATAGATTTTTTGTCGAGAAGATTGAGCCTTTCAAATTATATGATACAGATCTTTTGTCGAGAAGATTGAGCCTTTCAAATTATACGACACAGAGAGATGGAGAGCATTAAGTCTTTCAAGATATATGACACAAAGGGATTGCAACCGTGAGAGAAAAAGCTCAATCCTCAAAATGGACTAAGAATCTTAGCAGACGAACAAGTTTGAAGTTGTTCTCACCATATTCCAGGTTGAAATACTCTTCCGTCCTTAAAATCATTCAGATCAGCTCCTATCTTGCAATTCGAATGCACACTAGGCAAGCGAGGATACAATTATGATATGGTGTTCAATGCGCCGTTATTTTCTTGCCAATCCTCATCCCTGCAGCCGGAATTTCAAAAATAACAAACAGACAAATCAAACCTTTTGATTGTTCACGCGCTTGCATAGGATACAGCAAGTATGAGCTTATGATCAAGCCTATTGTCTGGCTTCCGAGCATCACCTCTATATTCGAAACACAGAATGCCATCGTCACAATCTCGGAACCGAAAAAAGAGAAAACCACAGGATTACCTATCATCCGCGGCTCCTCGCTCTCACGTTGATTGCATTCGGCACAGAGATGTCACGGCGTGTATGCTAGCGCAGCGGCTACTCGCTCTCACGTTGCTTGCATGCGACACAGAGGTGTCACTGCGTGTATGTTAGCGCAGATTCGAGCAATTCGAAGCGCGGAGAGAGCACACAGCTGCGAGGGTTTGGCGGCGAGGGCAAAGGGAATAAACAGGGGACGAAGGGGGAGGAGTGGGCGAGGATGTGTGGTGTACTTGAAACCCTCGACGGAACGGATGAAACGAACACTGATGTGTTATATTATTCCAAGAGACGAATGAAAAGTACTCTTGAGGGAGTCCATGGTACAGTATGAACCGAACTGACCAGAGGTGTATGGTTCGGCACCCAAAGAGTATATCACAAGGGATCCGAGGTATGTTCATGCTCTGAAGTCTTGTTTCGAGAACCGGTGAAAACATCTTATCCCAGAATCAAAATGGTCGGTGCAGACGAAGTCCTTAGTTGCCGAGGTGGGATCAGAGTGTAGTAGTGGGACGGTCCTCTAAGAAGGAGACGAAATGGGATATTTTCTGAACGGTGAGGGATTACATGAATTTGTGGGGAGGTGGAATCTGGGAGAAAGTTTCTAGCCCCCAACGTAATAGTTTATGAGCAAACATATGTTCAAGGACTAATGCAACGCTGCCCCACCGCTTGATTAAATCTACTCCGTGAACCTTACCAGAGACGGATCCCAAAGGAGGGACTTAATTTTGGGGATTTTCAACTATTAGTGTTGGGAGACACTGTGGAATGCGGATTTCGAATCTGAGATCCTAGACGGCAAACCAGTTGAAGGAGAGTTTTCGGGGTTCTAAGCAGGATTTGATCAGGTTGAGTGAAGGTGAGTTTTTCAACGATTTGCAGGAGGAATATGGTGCAGATACTCTAACCAGGGTGCCCCTGCCCATTATTTCTGCTTTACAAAGAGAACCCAAGAGAATTTTGTCGAGGGCATTCAATTGAAATCATTAGTGGTATCGCAAAGCAGCACCCTCTTAAAACGTAGCCCATTTTGGATGTTGATCGGGCTCTCTTGAGACTGGAGCTCATCTTTTTTTAATACGATATTTGCTGCCGTTTTGCTTCAGGCTTGGACAAACGGACGGTTCCGAAATGTGGAGCACCGAGCTGTGGTGAACGAATCAGAAGCGCGAATGTCCATGGTGTACTTTGCCTCTCCTCCGGCGAAAGCAACGATTGAGGTTCCAGAGCAGCTCGTCATTTCTAAGCACCTCTTGCGGTTCCGGCGATAGTTCTCTTCGGAGGAGTATAAGAGCCACTTGTTCAAATGCACGTCGGAGGGAACGGAGTAAAAATATCCAAACAGTGGCTACTTAAACCATCATCCTCGTGAGGTTTTGAAGAGATTGATTATGTCTAACTCTTAGTTTAGGAGCACCAGGCCATCAGGCTCCATTGCTGACACCGTTTACGATCGCCTGCTCATAGAGATGATTCCTTTATCATACCTGGTCAAGCCTGTATGCATCCAGTTTGTTCCAGTTATTTTACGTCCATCGGGGAGGAATTCGAAGTACAGGTAGCTATAACTATACGAGGGTGGATTTAGTGTAGGAATAAGACTTAAGCTTAGAAGAGCAGCATGTGCACCCGATTCATCGACCTTCACAGGTCCGTTATCATGGTGTCGGTTGCGCATAAACTTACACCTTGTTGCAAGGGATTACTTCAAGTTTTATTCATCATAACATGCTCATACTGAAACTTGTCACTGTTATCACTTCAAACAAAGGTCAGGAAGTAGAGTCCAAATTCTGACTTGACTTTTACTATTTAATGCATGAAAGCAGTATTTGTAAGATAGCGAAATTCAACCAGAGCGTTTGCTGCCAAAAGCATATGGCAATCTTGTGGATTATCACAGGTGTGTAGAGAACTGCAACAAAACAGATGTTAAATTAAAATACACTAGTACAGCCAATCATGGCTCCAGAATCATGATGCCTCTAAAAAGGTTCCTCTTCAGCACAAAACTAACAGAAATAACTCGAATGCCTTGTGACGAATTTCTTCTGCGAACTTCCATTGCGAACTAAGCAGCGACGTGCAGGGGTAAAGTAATTGCCGTTCGGCTTTCAGGTGCGGAAAGGTATCTATATGCTGAGAAGCAATCTGAATAAATTACCGTCACCATCCATCAATATTTCAAAATGTACAAATCTGAAGTTCAGGGAGATTCTTGTACCTCGCAGAGTAAGATAGAACCTGATAAACTGTGCAGGTTAGCGGCAACTTCACTTCCAAGTTAAGTACCAACATGAGAGAAAACGTAAATTCAAGTCCCAGCAGGAGCTGCAGACTTGGTTTTTGCAAATGCAGCGGCTGCCACCGCAGCTGCCTTTTTAGCTGCGGCAGCCTTTGCAGTCTGTGCCGTAGTTGTTGATATAATCGGCTGAGGACTAGGAAGTGGAATATTAGATCTGTTGACTTGCTCTTTTACTTGCGTCAGTAATGCCTTGATTTCTCCAGCAGTCATGGTTTCACGTTCCAAAAGATTAGCTGTCAGAGTATGGAGCTCGCGTTGATGGGTATTAAGTATCCTTTTTATTCCTCCTTGTTGTGTGTGGGGGAAGCATCAGTTAACTACACTCTACGAGTTCTGCTGTAAGATATAGTGATTATCATCTCGATTTAGGTGAGCCCTCTAGAAACTCGGAATCTTTTCCTTTTTCTCCGGATCCAACCATGTGTCCTGAAACTGTATGGAGTTTTATAGGTCTTAAGTTTCACCATCCCTCATCACTATTACATGTGGGTTTTAGCTTATTCATAGATGATTCTGGAGTGACATCAGTTGGCTTGAACATTGGGTTTCATTTGTGTATGTACACGTTGAGAATTAATTGAATGTGAAATAACTCTTGTTTTGTAATGCAGGCAAGTTTTCTGGTTTTTTGTGCAGCAGATTCCGGGAGTTGTTGTCAATAGCATCTTTATGCGACTGTGTTGATAGCATGACTATTTTCCCTTCATGCATTTCAGTGACATCAGGGACTTCCGCAGGGTGATCGTTTTGTGAAAAATAAAATGTTTTTAGCAACTCTAATATCTAACAGAAGTTCAAGACAACATTTCTGCGCATGGGATTTCATCTTCGATTTAATAAGTAAAACATTTTCTTCAGAAGTAAATCATTCTATATCAAGTCACTTACTACAATGTAACTACCATAAAGATACAAAAATTGTTAAGTTCCATTCATGGATGTGTAAATATGAATATATACATACATATACACATATACATATATATTTATATATCAAATTCATTTGAGCCACTTTTATAGAATTTGGATTTGACTTGCATCTGCAACTTTCATATGGTGCTTTTTAATGACCTTATGGTATGAAACAGACTTAGATTCAATTACACAAAAATCTAAACTTTCATCTTATAATAAAAAACGATTTCTTGAGAATTATTTACGGTTTTTTAAGTTGAATATATAGAGATCGGAAATGAATTTAAAATAATGAAGGAGTATGTACTATATCATAGTTTTATTAAATATTAAAAACGCTTAAATTAAGCTGGTATTCTTTTCTGTATTCTTTTGGAGAAATAATTACAACATCAGAAAAGATGTGTAGCAGAATTAGTTGTTTTAGTAATAAATCACTATATAATCCTCTATCAGATGTTTGTACCATTTGGAGGAAATCAATTCCCTACAACATTTTCTATCTATGCTGTGCATCTTTAAGCTCAATTTAATTCAATTTGTTTCTATTGACCGTCGTTCAATAGTGTACCTCAATTCAACAATCCATTGCGTGTTATATTCAAAATCCATTTTACATATTTATTTATCTCCAAAGCCATTCTATTGAAACTTCTATTAATAAGATGTGACTTATAGGAGCTAACTGAGTAGAAATAGCCAGTTATACAGAATTACATCTCATATTTCCAAACTTTTTACAATATTATCAAACTTTTCAAAATATTATGTGCTAGATTCTTCTGGACCAGTCATTTTAGGCCATTATGTCATATGTTGGCATTATATATACAGGATTTTTTATCAATAAAAACTTTTCTTTTTTAGTTTACTGCTTTCTGTCTTTATTTATACTTGTTATTATTATAATTATTACTTTAATACTGTACTTATTTTACTGAAATACTTGTGAATTAAAAAGAATACCAGATCACAAGTTTTTGTACCCATTTACATAAGTTTTTTGCTTCACCAATAATATATTAATACTCAATGTTAAGATATAAAGTGATTCAGTCCCTTCACGGACAAACTATGTATTTTCAATCTAACATTACAGGCTCTTCATCTAATATCCCTATATACTGGGTACATTGAGTAACTTGTTTATTTTTCTAACATTACTATTTACCCGTCAGGATCAAAATTCTAAGCTTTCTTCTCTTCTTTATTGCTATAAAAAAAAAAAATCAAACTTGAAAAAAATTTAAACAATAATTTTTGTGGTGATACAACAAAAAATATCCATTTAAAATTGTTACAGGGAATAGAAAGAAGACTTGAATTTGATGCAAAGGTCTACTTTCATCTCCGGATGCTGCTGCTTTTAGATGTTTCGATTCTGGTGCAGAGCAGATTTCCTTCACTAACCGGGACTCTGCACAGTAATCTGCGCATTTTGTAGACTGGTGACTTGATCTGCAACTTCATGGTTCTTACTCGGCAAAAAAAATAATAATAAATAAATAAATAAATAAACAAACATTGCATGGGCGTGGAGTTTGTACTTAACATTGAATTGGACTTTAACACAGAATCGGCGATCGACTGTGGTAAAATCATGAGTCAATGAGAATAGAGTTCTGGCTCATGTTTTTCTGTTGGTGGAATCAAGGTACCATCTCATTGTGTGATCACAATGACTGAGTGAGAGAAGTAGTTGTTCTAGCTAACAGGATGTCTAAATAATTTACTGGTATCTCAATGACGCCTAAAAATGATTAAGAAATTCGTTAGATTTTTAAATCATTTGCGGCAACGTCGAAGCAACAGGAAATCAGCAGTTTCGGAGGACTTATCTAAGTTTCTGATCTCACCAACTGTAATCTCATTGACTGCATCGACATCTGTGAAAGGCTATCTGATGTGTGATATATCCAGAAAGGTCGATAACTTCAACAAGCTGGAGTGCCTATGAACGCTTCCGTCGATATGGGTGAGTGACATGACTCAAGTGATGTCTTCGGAAATTGTCACAGGAATTTACATCATGTAACTCATTGAGACGAGAAGGCATGAACAATGACCCAAGTCAAGTTAACGATTAAGGATCTTGGCAATACCGACTTGCAGTCAGCTGCATGGAGTTGAT